GGAGTGGGTGGGGCTGTCGGTTGACCAACAGCCAAGGATGTCTTTCCCAGTGGTCCAGACCGGCGTGGATGACTCTCGGTTGGTTTGCATGTGGGACGGGGCAACTAGGAGGGGGTCACACTCGGCTGGTGGGGTGGTCCTTTGTGGTCCGGGAAGGACGGTCATTCGGGCTAAAGGTGTGCAATTTGCACGGTTGGATGACCCGATGATGGTGGAGCTGCTAGTGCTGCGTGAGGCTGTTACTTGGTGTTTAGAGTGGGGTTTGTCCGATGTTCGGTTCGAGGGAGATGCGAAGGTCATTATTGACAAGATTAATCAAGCCGATCCGCGTGACAATCACTTGGGGGCGGTCCTGGAAGAGATTTGTCAATATTTTGCCGCCCATCCGGGGTTTAGTGTGCGGTTTGTAGGTCGGGATAACAATAGGGTAGCTCATTCGGTAGCTAGAAAAGCCCTCTCTTTGTACCCGAATGGGAATCGCTTATTTGATTTCAGAGCCTGGCTGCTTTCCAGGATGTAACTATCTTGTTGGATTGAAGTAATATATGATATCTTTTGACAAAAAAAAATGTGTACCTATATTGAGGTTCTCATTCAGTAAAAGTAGAGAAGGTACAAAACGGTTAAAGGGTAATTACATGACAGAAAAAAGTCAATTCACCATCACTACTAGTAGTAGAGACTAAAAAGTAAAAACAAGACTAATAATCTAAAGTGTAACACTTTCTTGCAAGATCGCATAGCACACATGACAGACATACTTGGTTAGTTGATAATCCAATAATTAAACACAAAAGAAAATAAAGCATTTGTCTAAATTTAGTCTTTTAAATTTAGTCTACAGTGGAACTAAAGCGGAAAACTGAAATTATACATAGTGAAATGTCTACCTATATTGAGGTTCTCATTAAGTAAGAGTAGAGAAGGTAGAAAACGTTTATAAAGGGTAAAATTAAAATCCAAGTTGCCACGACACTCGAATTGCTGACTTCGAGGTTGCAATTGACAGCTTCCACCACCACACTATTTTGAGACGTCTGGTTATGTCTCATTATGTGCCGATAATTGAGCCTAACAGACCGTTTGGTACCAAATGAATCCAGAATTCATTTCGTTTTAAAAGGAATTCCTGTGTAGAATTCATTATCAAATGAATTCATGTGTTTGGTATATGCTATTAGCGTTACAATCAAATTCTTGTCGACGTTCCTCATACTACATGAATTTGCGCCAAATAATATATGTAGAAGTAATATTGTTAATAAATGAGAATAATTATGTCGTTTTTATCATAATTGGTAAATACTTGTGGAATTCATTTGAAAATTCCATCACAATTCCTCGGAATTGCTATAACTAGTTCCAATTCCGTAGAATTCAAAATTTAGAATTGAGAATGAATTCTTTTAAATACCAAACACAAAAAGATTCATTTCAAAATGAATTCCTAAAAACTTATGGAATTCATTTATACCAAACGCTATGTAATTGTTTGATTTTGATCTTTAAGTGTCTGCGTGTTCACTCTAAGTTATTTGATAAATGACGAATTTCAGAGAGGGGAAGTCACGGATTTGCTCTATTAGTATGATATTGTCCGCTTTGGGCCAAGCCCACACGGTTTTACTTTTTAGGTATCGTCCCCAAAGGTATCGTACTAATGAGCTTGATTGACACTAATATACAATGGTTCCTTCTCTTGTATTTCCGATGTGGTACTTGGATTGTCCCATAACATGAATCGTAATTGAGCTCATGTGATCGTTTTCTTCCTTTTCTCTGGTATGTGGTGTAAGTAGCGGACGCCATTGCTGTCAAGACAAACAAAGAGCATACATACTGAATCAAACTTACATGTGAAAACATGACAAATAATGAATAGTTGATCATCATACCTTGAAGCTTGGGCCAAAAGTAGAGCAAGAAGATAACGACTGGCGGCTGGAAAGGAGAAAGGATAATATTTGTGAAAAAATGCATGCACTACAACAAATTCGGCTTTTTATGACGAGGCGATTTTGTCATATCCGGGTGACCTCTCTCGACTTGAAAACAACCTTTTAACTGCTTTGCTTGTTTGGATCTTCACTACACTTTCACTGCTAGATAATAAGAACTCACGGAGTAGTCATCACACGTAGGACCCGGGTTGACATTAAAACCCAAACCCGCTATACTACGCTTTAGGAGGTGGTTACACTTGGCCATTTTCTAGAGTGACGGTTGGAGAGAGTCAAGTTTTTGGCACCGTTGCTGGGGATGGCTAGGTTGTTGAAGTAACGTGGTTTCTGTTAATTTAGCTTTTCCTTTTAGCATTGTTTGTTTGCTTGTCACACCTGTGTCTTCACGGGTTTGCTGCTTGACTGTGTGCATGTAGTGCATGACCCGTAGCCAGTCAGGAGGTTTACTGCCGTTGGATCTGGAGCTTGAACGCACCTGTCGCCAACTTAGGAGACAGCAGCGAGCTAGACTGGCTACGAAGGAGCGCATAAACGGCCACTTGAGCAGTGATTCCAAGGACGAGTACGAGATGGAAGGCAAACATAACCCGCCTCAGGGGATACCTCTCCAGGTTCCCCCGGTGGATCAGATCTTGGGGAACAACCCCATACTCCAGGTAGATGGGGTTCAGCATCAACCACCACCGCCGGGTCCCACCTTGGAGTATTACTACACTCCACGGGTCGCTGATATTCTCCCTGTCATCCTCTATCCACCCATTCTAGCGAACAACTTCAAGATCAAGCCATGTTGGATTCAACTCATTACATCCTCTATCTAGTTTCATGGCTTGAAGGATGAGGAGGCAATGGTGCATCTTTCCCATTTCCTGCAGCTGACGAACGGGTTCAAGATGAATGGTGTACCCAATGATGCGATCCGCCTTCACCTCTTCCTCCATTCTCTGGCAGGGCAGCTAAGAGGTGGTTGGAGACCCAGCCCCCGTTGTCCATTATTTCTTGGGACGATCTGGCCAACAAGTTCATGCACAGATACTATCCGGCATCGAAGACCACAGAGATCCAGCGAGAGATCACTCACTTCCGCCAAGAGCCAGATGAGTCACTTCGTGATGCATGGGAGCGGTACTCGGGATTTTTCTTGCAGTGTCCCCATCATGGCTTCAGTGATGCATTCACCGTGGGGAACTTCTATAGTGCTTTCTCTCTGGAAAGCCAGAAGGTGATTGAGTCTCTATGCCCAGGAGGGAATATTCTTACTAAGACTCCACCCGAACTGAACTAGATGATCAGTACCTTGGTTGCCAGAGATCATTCCTGGGGTCAGAGCACCAGAGGCAGGAATTCCTGGGATCGTGGTGTACACGCCATGGAGGCCAGGTCTGGGGTAGAGCGGGAGGTGGACGAGTTAGTGCAGACATTGAAGCAGCCCAACAGTCTTATTCCAGGCAGAGGTTTGGCCGTACCTCCTGTAGCTCAATTTCAGTGGTGTGAGAGCTCGAACAATCTGGTGGAAGATTGCCAGGCTATGCGGGAGTCTTCTACACCCCAAGAGCAGTTGGACTTCATCGCCAATGCTCGGCGCCTTGACCCATACACTAATACATACAATGAGGTATGGCGCCAACATCCCAACTTCTCTTGGAATAGCAACACCACTAGACCACCTGGTTTCCCAGCACCAGCAAGTGGTTTTCAGCAGAGGAAGCCTTTCCAGGCTAGACAGGGGCCAGTTCCACAGCAGCAGCCTTACTAGCCTAGGCAGGGGAAACCATTCCAGCAGCCGTAGCGCCAATGTGTTGAGCCAGCAGCAGCTCCAGCTCCAGATAATCAGATGACCGAGCTGAAGAACATTTTGGCGGCATTCATGACTACCAGCCAGGCGAATTTTACCAGGATAGACCAAAGCATCGCCTCGCTGGAGGCGGGTCAGAGGAACCAAGGTGCCATACTGCAGTACCTCCAGCATCAACTTGGAGTAATAGCTCATCAAAACAATACCCGGGCACCGGGAACTCTACCTGCCACTACCATCCCTAATCCACGGGAGCCGCACCAGCAGCTGAATGCCATCACTACCAGGAGTGGTAAGACGATATCTGCTGCTCTTGCCCAGACCGTGCAGGACGAGCCACTACCTGGTTTAACACTTCCAGCCGACAATCTATAAGTGGGGATGGACAAAGAAGCACCTGCTCCCAAGCCACAGCCAGTGGTTAAGGAGCATGTACCCCAGCTTCCCTTCCCCACTCGCCTACATAAAGACAAGCTGGAGACTGAGTTTGCCAACTTCATGGCAATGTTGAAGGAGGTCAACATCAACATGCCGTTCGTGGAGGCACTGTCGAAGATGCCCAAGTACGCCAAGTTCATGAAAGACCTCCTCACCAACAAGAAGAAACTTGGGGATCTTTCGATAGTGATGCTGAGGGAGGAGTGTTCTGCTATCTTGCAGAATAAGCTGCCCGAGAAGCGTAAAGACCCAGGGAGTTTTACCATCCCTCTTGTTATTGGCAGCATGCATGTAGGAAAGTCCTTGGCGGACCTAAGCGCTAGCATAAATGTCATGCCCTACAAATTGTTTAAAAAGCTAGACCTAGGTGAACCTAGAGCTAGTAGGATGAGCATTCAGTTAGCTGACCGTTCCATTGTGCATCTTAGGGGTATCACAGAGGATCCGCTTGTTAATGTAGGTGCATTCACATATCCCGTTGACTTTTTTATTCTAGATATAAATGAGGATGTGGATGTACCTTTGATTTTGGGTAGACCAGTTTCTCACCACCGCCAAGGCACTTATTGATCTTGCGTGCTGGGAATGAACATGCTACTTTTTCTGTGTCTGAATTATATTATTGTGATATGCCTGCTGTCACACCTATGCATGTTATTTCTCACCAGGTACACGAGCCTGTCGTGCATCCCTCTGTGCCTCTCGTTTTGCAGGATCCCCCCCTCACGCCTTCGCCGCCATTCCCTTCAACCTCACCGCCAAACAAAAAGATCAAAGAGGAGTGGTGTTATTGTGCATCAGGCAAAATGTTGTGTTATTGTCGACTGGTTTACATGCCAATGTCATACCTCTACGGGAAGAGATTTGTTGGGCCGATCACTGATCTGATTCAAACACTAAGAGGAGAACTCTACAACGAGTCATACCATAAGATCAACTGGAATGCGGCAAGAAACACGGTCGCAAAGGTAACTTTAATGAGCAATGATTAGTAAAATGTGCTTAGATTAAGTACCTTTCCTATGGTTAAAGTTGTGCTGTGTTACAATGTGATTTCAGGAGGACCACTACTACCCACATCCTTTGGTACAGGACTTGACGTGGGGATTTCTTCACTACTTTGCAGAGCCTCTGCTGACGCGCTGGCCATTCTCTAAGGTGAGGGAGTACTAGGAGCACCTGCTCCAGTCTTGTCACCCGCCATAGGAGCACTACTGGACCACTCGGTGGGACTACTCACCACCCCCACCACCACTGGCAGATGGGGTCGAGGACCTCATGGACCAGATCGACTTCACCGGGGTCGAGTAGGCTGTACTAGTGACCCCGTTTTGTATTGTTTTCTTTCAGAGTGCAAACTGTCTTGTGTGTTGGTTTATTTTCTTTCTTTTTATTTTGGATGATGTACTATTGGGCTGACTATTGGGCTGACCATTGTGTTTGAGTTCTTCTGCTCCCTTTAGATATGCCTTTGTCCCTAACTGGTCCACTCTCCAGTCCGCTTCACTCAGACTGGTCCCCTTCCAGTCTCCTGCAGTCTGTGTAGGACTGTTAGTCGGTCGGTTTCGGTTTAACCGAAAACCAAAAAGTCGGTTTTCGGTTAAACCGAGCGACCCCCTAGCACCACCGACCGACGAGTTTCACACGGTCACCGCCTAACCGACCGGTCGATTATCGGTTATAACCGCGGTTAGCCGAATTAAATACAAAAAATAAAAATAAAAAGAAATAGAAGAAAAGTCGGTCCACCTCCACCACACCTTTTCATACCCACCTTATCTTCTTCTTCTTCTTCTCTCCTCACCCAAGACCCTCTGCTAACCGAAGTCTTTTCTTCTCCCCTCTCTCTCCTTTGCCTCTGCTAACCACCTAAGCCTACCTCTCCATCTCCAACCAAGACCCTTCTTCTCTCCTCTCTCACTTTTCTTTTCCTTCTGCTCGGGGACCCTCCATCTCCAACCAAGACCCTTCTTCTCTCCTCTCTCACTTTTCTTTTCCTTATGCTCATGGACGACCGATGGACGCGGTTCATCTGCTCGGGGACGGCGACGACGGATGGACGGGAAAGAGGAAGGATGGAGGCGGCTGCGCGAGGCGATGAGATGAGGACGAGATCTGGGCGAGGCGGCTGCGCGAGGTGGCTGCGCGAGGAAGGATCTGCATGGCGGCGGCCGGCGAGGAAAGGAGGAAGGCGGCGGCCGTGAGGCAACAAGGAAGGGAGCTGGGCGGCGGCCGTGAGTCGTGAGGGTGAGGGTTTGATGAGGGGATTTAGGGTTTCAGTTTGGGGTTATGGGTTTTTCTTTTTTATGTCATTTTTTTTTTGCAGGGAGGGGCGGAGGGCAATATATGAGGGTTTGTCGGTTTGGTTCGGTTTTTTCGGATAACCGCGGTTAATAATGGTCGGTTGCTCGGTTATCCGAAGCCTGTTTATTCTCCTCCGTCCACCAACCGAAGTAATTTTAGTCTCGGTTTTCGGTTAGCCGAAAACCGGTCGGTTCGGTTGTAACCGACGGTTATCCGCTAACTGGAAACCGAACTGCCAGCCCTAAGTCTGTGCTACTGGTAACATCGTTCCCCTTATCCTTCCCTCTTCTCCATTGAGGGCAATGTCGATCTTAAGTGGGGGGGGGGGGGGTGTTTCTCTTTTGACTGCATTAGATCTGTTTGTGTGCTTGGAGCCTAGTCCACTATCCAAATTTCGATTTGAGGGCTCCAAGTACGTGTTTCCTTGCAAATTTCCTGCTCAGTATGCTTTGAATTGACAGTCTCTATAGTAATGTGCAACCTAGGGAGGTAGTGTAGCACTAGGGAGGATGTTGAAGTATAAGATTTTTCCTATCTAGCTTCTCTGTTGTGCCAGTTGATTTTGTAGAGTAGTGGAGCTAAGACCGTTGAATTCATGTGGTAATGGTGACTCTGTTTGGATTGTGTTATGGACTCGTGTATCGAACAGGATGCTCATGTGAGAAATGAAAAGCAGTTGGTCCTCCATGTCGAAATCATCGAAATCTTAAACATGGGGTAAGCCCAACGTGTGCGGCACCGTTCATTGCACAAAATCGGGTTTTGGAAGAGATTTTAGTGATCCTTAGTGGGGTACTCCTATAAGGTGAAGCTAAGCTGTCTCTAGCAATGCAGTCAAATGCGCGATTCTACCTAGAAGCGGTAAATGGGTAAAACCGTAAAGCGTAGAATTGAAGCGTAAAAGCGTAAGTTTTTGTGCATTCTGTAAAGTAGCTAAAAATCTTTTAGCCACGACCTGTACTCTATAAAATGTGAGTGTATAAATTTTAAATAAGTGAATAACTATCTGCAATAAGTCATACTCATATCATCTTTAACATAAGTTCATAAACATAGATTATAAGTAACTCAAACAACTTCAAGAATCCAAATTCCGACAAGCTGGTTTAAGTTTACGTAATGAGATACGAGTTTAATAATCCAAATTCTTGGAATAGATATCAAAACACACAAATATTCTAAATGATAGAAAGAAACGTACATTAAATCATGAACATAATTACATAAGGCATTTTCAATCAGCTTACTTCTTTTGATAAGAGAAACAAAGAAAAAAATTCACAACATAACAATGCACTGTTCAATTATATGCAATAACTCCTCAAGGCCCCATCTGCCTCAAATCCTCGCCTGTCTCTTTTATCCATCAAGTTTCAATTGCAACATTCTACTATGCAATCCATCAACTCAACAAGTGGCTAAATCCCATAAGCTCAACTAATGAAACAGAGATTGAACGAGAGTTTAATGATGATAATTAATAGACATTCAGATAATTTTGATTCTGATGAACACGTTTCAACCCTACTACTATCTATACAAGTGGGAAATTTAGGACTAAGTTTCTTTTAACCTTCAGCACAAAGGCGAAACAGCATTTGGGTAAACCAGAGAGATAGAGAGAGCACAAAAGCAGTTCAAGTTTATAAGCTAGAACAAATATAAGCAGAAGCCAGTTTTCTTGACCTTGAACTGATAACAAATCACCCCCTGCCGGTCTATATACGTCCATCTCAAATGATTCAATCTAATGAAGAAAAGGGGAATACATAAACTACTGAGAAATGAGCGCTAGCGAAGATGGAAAGAGTGCTACGCCGGCAAAGATGAAAGGACTGTCGGCGAAGGTGAAGCTAAGCTGTCTCTACTCTCTAGTACAAGTAAACCTTCCACCCGTTGAACGGTTTGCCTACTTGAGGAAGTGTTTTTAAGGGCACAGATAGAGCTTCCGACCCCCCTTGATTTCATTGACCCTCCACACGAGTTGAGGAAAATGAGTTAAAAGAAGTACTCTGGCGAGCGCCAGATGTACAGAAATTGCTCTTGCTCGACTAATAAGGGTGGACGGTACAAAAGACTGCAGTTGGAACCCCCGCCAAGTGAATGAAAAATAAAGAAAAAGAGAAATGTAAATGAAATTGCAAAAAAGGGGTTCCAACGGTGAAATGAAGTGAAAGAGCACCCTGGTACAACGAGTCCTTGGTTGTGAATGGTGTGAGCCCCTTTATCCATGAACTGACCGTCTTACTTCTACTCCTTCTCATGATCCTGGCTTGAGTCTAGTACTCGCATTGAGTGAGATAGGGGACGTCTTAGAAGACTAGTTGACCTCGTAGGCTGCTTTATGATCTAGTAAATCCTCTACCGACGATCGGGGTTGTTTGTTGCTATAGAGGTTTGGAGAGTTGCATTGGTTTGAGTTAGGTTTGCTTGGGGACAAGCAAACGGTTAAGGGTGGGGGAATTTGATAGACCATTGATTGCACATGTTTTTACCCCTATTCTTGAGCCGTTTGAGATGTTGATTCTCGTGTTTTAAGCCGATTTCACGCTAGGTTGTACATTTATGTCATATTTCAGGGCTTAGCATTGGCATCGAGGCGAAGAAATGAGTTTCGGGTCGAAAGGAGCACGTTTAGCCATTGCACAAAAATACCTGGTCGGGTATTTCGTGCCACGGCCTGGTTTTTCCCTCTGTTCGGCCAAAAAGCTCCTTCTCCCAAATTTTCAACCCCCCTGCACGAAAACACCAAACCGAGGCATAACAGACGATCGAACTTCAACACAGACATGCAACTGACTCAACACGACACAAAAACACAGAAAAAGGGGGAAAGAAATGCAAACCGTGGTGGGGTTGCCTCCCCACAAGCGCTTCTTTACCGTCTTTTAGCTGGACGCCCATGGTGGATACTCAGAGGGGGTGCAGGAACAGGTGCCTCCAGGAGCGGATCCACATCGCTCTTGAGGTACAGCTTCAGATGGTGGCCATGCACCCGAAGGGTGCAACCACCAGCATTTGTCAGCTCGACCTGGCCATCCGGTAGGATGCAAGCGAGTGAGTACTCAGATGGCCAGGGTGGTCGTGGTGCAGAAGGTGGGACCAGCTCATAGTGGTCTCCACCTTTCTTCCGAGCAGGCTTAGCCACCTGCTGCTTCGGCCGCCACTCCTCTTTGATCTTTTTGTTTGGCGGTGAGGTTGAAGGGAATGGCGGCGAAGGCGTGAGGGGGGGATCCTGCAAAACGAGAGGCACAGAGGGATGCACGACAGGCTCGTGTACCTGGTGAGAAATAACATGCATAGGTGTGACAGCAGGCATATCACAATGATCTAATTCAGACACAGAAAAAGTAGCATGTTCATTCCCAGCACGCAAGATCAATAAGTGCCTTGGCGGTAGCGAGAAACGGTCTACCCAAAATCAAAGGTACATCCACATCCTCATTTATATCTAGAATAAAAAATTCAACAGGATATGTGAATGCACCTACATTAACAAGCGGATCTTATATGATACCCCTAGGATGCACAATGGAACGGTCAGCTAACTGAATGCTCATCCTACTAGCTCTAGGTTCTCCTAGGTCTAGCTTTTTAAACAATTTGTAGGGCATGACATTTATGCTAGCGCTTAGGTCCGCCAAGGACTTTCCTACATGCATACTGCCAATAACAAGAGGGATGGTAAAACTCTATGGGTCTTTACGCTTCTCGGGCAGCTTATTCTGCAAGATAGCAGAACACTCCTCGCTCAGCATCACTATCGAAAGATCCCCAAGTTTCTTCTTGTTGGTGAGGAGGTCTTTCATGAACTTGGCGTACTTGGGCATCTTCGACAGTGCCTCCGCGAACGGCATGTTGATGTTGACCTCCTTCAACATTGCCATGAAGTTGGCAAACTCAGTCTCCAGCTTGTCTTTATGTAGGCGAGTGGGGAAGGGAAGCTGGGGTACATGCTCCTTAACCACTGGCTGTGGCTTGGGAGCAGGTGCTTCTTTGTCCATCCCCACTTATAGATTGTCGGCTGGAAGTGTTGAACCAGGTAGTGGCTCGTCCTGCACGGTCTGGGCAAGAGCAGCAGATATCGTCTTACCACTCCTGGTAGTGATGGCATTCAGCTGCTGGTGCGGCTCCCGTGGATTGGGGATGGTAGTGGCAGGTAGAGTTCCCGGTGCCCGGGTATTGTTCTAATGAGCTATTCCTCCAAGCTGATGCTGGAGGTCCTGCAGTATGGCACCTTGGTTCCTCTGACCCGCCTCTAGCGAGGCGATGCTTTGGTCTATCCTGGTAAAATTCGCCTGGCTGGTAGTCATGAATGCCGCCAAAATGTTCTTCAGCTCGGTCATCTGATTATCTGGAGCTGGAGCTGCTGCTGGCTCAACACATTGGCGCTACGGCTGCTGGAATGGTTGCCCCTGCCTAGGCTGGTAAGGCTGCTGCTGTGGAACTGGCCCCTGTCTAGCCTGGAAAGGCTTCCTCTGCTGAAAACCACCTGCTGGTGCTGGGAAACCAGGTGGTCTAGTGGTGTTGCTATTCCAAGAGAAGTTGGAATGTTGGCGCCTCATTGTATGTATTAGTGTATGGGTCAAGACGCCGAGCATTGGCGATGAAGTCCAACTGCTCTTGGGGTGTAGAAGACTCCCGCATAGCCTGGCAATCTTACACCAGATGGTTCGAGCTCTCACAACACTGACATTGAGCTACAGGAGGTACGGCCAAACCTCTGCCTGGAATAAGACTGTTGGGCTGCTTCAATGTCTGCACTAACTCGTCCACCTCCCGTTCGTCAGCTGCAGGAAATGGGAAAGATGCACCATTGCCTCCTCATCCTTCAAGCCATGAAACTAGATAGAGGATGTAATGAGTTGAATCCAACATGGCTTGATCTTGAAGTTGTTCG